GACCCATTTAGCACTCACGCTGAAAAGATACAGCGATTGGACGAAAGAGATGATTTGAATAAAACATATTGGACCTGCCCCGGATACGACAAGCAGATGTGCGCAATGATGGCTCAACTCATCTGTCGCGGATACATGAGGACTGAACAGGACAGGTACTATTTGATTGGTAATCCATCACAGGGGACTCTTTCCTACCAGTGTTTCGGCTACCTTGGTGGCGTGGGGCCAGTCTGTCACAATTTGTTTAGCTTCCTGTTGTCTAAGTACCCCATGCGTCTTGGGATGTCCGCCCGTGCACACCGTATGATGAACACATCCGTTTTCGCAAAGAACCAAAGCAATGGACAGATTTTGAAGAACCCACGCCCCGGCAACCTTTACTCAGTGGCATCATACCACCATGCACGCGTGTGCCAAACCTCCATTCGCAACCTCATTTTCAGAATGATCGTGGAGCTCGACGAAAAGGAACAGGTGACCACAAAGATTGGATCTGCCTCCAAAATGGGACATGATATATCCACCCTGTACCGGCACTGGGTCGTTGGCGACTTGGTCACAGCCACTTCTTCCTTTACCCTCACCGAGCAAACATTCCAAAAAATGCTGGCACCCATCTTGCAGGTCTATAAAGGAGGTGTGACTCCTGGATGCACTTCCTCCTTCTTGATTCTCTCATCGAAACTGAAGTACTTGGATGACAGCAATGAGCCCACCGGCAGCAAAGTGGTGAGCTGCAAAGGCCAGGAGGCGGCAGTTACTGGATTGGATAATGTTACAGGAGCCCGCCAGTTTTTGGAACACGACATGGACATGGACATGCACATTGTGGAGGTCCCAAAAGTTATGTTGTCTGTAATTCAGATTCTTGCTTGCCAAGAACCAGATCTATTCAGTCCCATACGACTATCACGACGATACAAGTGTTTTCAACGGGATCAAGATGCTGCCTTTGCTCAGCCTACTCGAAGGCAGAGACGTGGGAATCCTTTGTCACCGACTTCAGAGGGCGCTCCTACCTTGCTCCGAACCTGGAGGATGTCGACCATCCTGCTATCCCCTTGCTCTACCACTGGAGAGACCATGGGGTCCCCGTACAAAACAAATCACCCCCCTGGACGACGGAACAGAAGGAGGAATGCATCCGCCGCGGCTGCCACAAATCTGCTACCGAGCATTCCGACTTCCTCCGTGAGGAATTTTCCGAGTTCATCGAGAACAAGTTCTGGGCTGTCCTTCCATTTGACCTCGTCAAGGATGAACCCTCCCTCCTTCTATCTGCCACTGCAGTCAAGGGGGAACGAGACCGAAAACCCCGACTCATCAGCGACCACACCTGGAACTGGGGATGGCCCTCCGTAAACGAAACCACATCACATCACGCACCGCCCGAGGCCATGCAATTTGGAAATGCCCTGCCGCGCATCCTGTACGATGTGCGTCACGCAAACCCCAAGTTTGGACCCGTCCGCCTCTGCAAGCATGACATCAAGGACGGCTTCTACCGTATGTTCCTGAACCCTTCCGACTGCATCCGACTCGCGCTGGTGCTGCCTCGCTATGAAGGTGAGCCCCAACTGGTGGCCGTCCCAATGTCGTGCACCATGGGATGGGTCGAGTCACCGCCCACTTTCAGTGGCATGTCGGAGACTACCTGCGACCGAGCAAATGAACGCTTCCTGAAGTCCCCCAGAGCCTGTCCTCCGCACAGGCTTGAGCATCACGCCGAGGGAATGGATGACCTGGACCCGTCCACCACTCCAAGACCACGAGAAAAGGAGGACCTTGCGGCGACGCAGGAACTCCTTGGGATAGCCACCTCCCCCTTGGAGGCCGAGCCAGACCATTTCGCGGGACCCTCGAACAGACCTCTGCTCCAGCCCATCGGGCGGAATGATGTGTTCGTTGACGACTTCATCCAACTAGGCCAAGGAGGAAAGACCCGTATGAAAGCGCTACGCAGGCACTTGCTCCATGCCATCGACGAGATCCTCGCACGCCCAAACCTCAGCGAGAAACATCGCAATGAGGCAGTCTCGCTCAAGAAACTCCTGCAAGGTGATGGAAGCTGGGCTACTCGAAAGCTCATCCTGGGATGGATCATTGACACCCTGCGACAGACTCTGGAACTCCCTCCCCACCGGAAGCAAGCGCTCGCTGACATCTTCAAGGAACTAGCCGGGTGTCGCAGAGTCAGCCACAAGCGTTGGATGCAAATCCTCGGCAAGCTGCGCTTCGTCTCTGTCGCCATCCAGGGTTCCGCTGGACTTTTCAGCGCGCTCCAGCTCGCCCTCACGAAGTCCAAAGGAGGAAGAATCCGGATCAACGCTGCGCTGAGTTCCCACATCGATGCCTTTGCTGATCTGGCTGCCAGCCTCTGCCACCGCCCAACTCACCTGGCTGAGATCGTCCCCCAGGACCCATCCTTCTTCGGAGCCACTGACGCTGCCAAGGCTGGAATGGGCGGTGTCTACTTTGACTCTGAGGAAACTCCTTACCTCTGGAGGCTCCCGTTCCCTCCCGATGTGCAGGCTCAGCTCGTGTCCACGGACAACCCGACGGGAACCGTGACCAACAGTGACCTCGAGCAAGCAGCCATCCTTGCGCAACACTCCTTGCAAGCAGCGCGGCACTGCGTCACCTACGCCACCCTCTACACTCTCTCGGACAACACCCCAGCCGTCTCCCGAGTCTCCAAAGGGGCGGTCACCTCAGATGGTCCTGCGGCGTTCCTGTGCAACTACGCCTGCCGACACCAGCGGGAGCACCGCTACTGCACCCTCTCGTCCTACATCCCGGGTCCTGCCAACGTGATGGCTGATGATGCGTCGCGCCTACAACACCTCACCCTGCCTGCACTTCTCGCCCACTTTGAACAGCGCTATCCGCAGAACAGACCCTGGCAGGTGTTGACTCTGCCACCCGAGGTCAGTTCACAGTTGATCTCCGCCTTGCGCTGCAGACCGCTTCCAAAAACATTGTCTCCAAGACGGCTGCCGCCCGGGACCGGACCTTCGGATGCTGGTGTGACTTCTGCGCAGGCCTCGGCGTCAACCCATCCCTCTGTGATATCCCTGACCAAGAGGTCCAAGCCTGCTACCTCCTTGTCTTCGGAAACCGTTACCGCGAGTCTAACAATGTCCGAGCTGACTCAGTGGACAAGAAGGCCCTTCTTGCTGTCGGGAAGGGGATCACCAACCTGGGTCACCCGGATCCCCGAAAGCTCAAGGCTGGATCCGACCACAACCATCCAATACTCGCTGCTTTCCTCAAAGGACTCCGGGATGAAGATGGACCCCCTGACCGCGCCTACCCCGTCAACCTCTCCATCCTCCGAGCTATGCTCGATGCCCTGGACTATGACGACGCCACTTGGGGAACCCTCAACCGCCACGTCCGCGACCTCTGCATCCTGGCCTTCTTCTGGCTCCTACGCCCTGCGGAGTACCTGGATACCGGGAACCTTGAATCCCGAAGCCAAGCCTTTCGCCTCTGTGATGTCTCCTTCACTGTCCGCGGCGGCCTCCAAGTCCGCGGTGACACCATCTCTTTGAATGACATAAAAAACTACGCGTGCCTCACCGATGCCACGTTTACGTTCACTGACCAAAAGAATGCTGTCCGCAGCGAGTCCGTGGGCCACCGCCCGACCTCTGATCCGTGGCTTTGCCCGGTGAAGTCCCTCACGCGTGTGGTCTACCACCTCCGTACCAACGGCGCCGACGCCGATACTCCCCTCTTCAACCACTTCAATGCGGCCTGCAACCGGTGGTATCCTGTGAAGCCCCAGTTCATCACCAACGCCCTCCGCCACGCTGCGGCCCTCATCTCCCACGACACCGGCATCAACCCTAACAAGGTCTCTGCCCGCTCCCTCCATCCTGGTGGTGCCACCGCCCTTCTCTGTGCCCATGTGGACTCGGATGCCATCCGCCTTCTCGGCCGCTGGAAGTCCGACGCCATGCTCCGCTACCTGCGCATCCAAGCCGCTGTCGCCACCCACCACTACTCCCAACAGATGTTGGACCATGGGGCGCACAACTTCCCGGGAGGCACCTACGATCGCCACCTCCTCCCGGCACAAGCGCCCCAACACTTCAACGAGATTCTTCTCCACGAAGAACTCTACGAGGACTAACCTACCCCTAGTCCTCGGCCCCCCTGTCCTCGCCTCCACCTGGCCAGGGGGAAACTTCTCCCTCCCCGCTACGCTCCCTCCCTGTTCTGCCTTTGGCTTTTGGGTTGCACGACTCAAGGCTGTCCCGTGGAACATCACATTCCCGGGACTCCCTTTTGCCGTGTGGGATCCATCCGGGACTCCCCAGTCCCGAATGGTACCCCGGGGACTGGAGACGGTCGGCTCCGTAAATGGCCGAGTCTCTCCACTCACCTAATCCTCTACTAGTCGTGTCTAGCTGCTCTGGGCGAGCGCAGCTTGTCTGCGCTCGGTGTTGAGCAGCAACACGCCTGGGGAACCCCCCGTCCGAGTTTCCATGCCCCGCAACGTGGAAACTTGAACCCTGATGGGTTCTCGCAACTATGACCCTAATCATGGTTGCCGAGAGGACCATCTCACAATTTGCAAAATTAATTCCCGCGCTCCTCACCTACAACTCAAGTACATCTCTACATCTCGCAGGTCATCACCTGCGTTCCGGAAATGGATACCCCACATGATGATGCACCGCATCAGCTCCTCAGTGCCTCTCGAACAAGATTACCCTTAAGGCAACGACGCCCGTCCAAGACCACATTTGGCAAGATCGACAGCGGCAACCATGAATCACTAAGGCCAGCGACCTAGCCAAGACCAGCCATTGAACTGCTGATCCCAAGAAGGTTGTCTCTCTCTCAGCTCACAATTCTTCATTCAAAAATTCTAGATTTGCGAAATCTGAAACCGCCCGTATCGGACGCACACTGACTCTCAAATTCGTACTGTTTATTCTATAGTAAATTTGCTGTTTCCTAAGCCAACCAAAAAGAAAAGGTCCACCATGGCGCCGTGTGGTCCATTTCGCATGAGAACAACGGCTGCTACTAACCAGAGGACCTTGTCAAACGGATCTAACACCATGGGAGATGACACACGGCTTCTGGCGGCAACAAAATCGCCCTTAATCCCATCGAAAGCACTCGATGCTACTTCTCCTGAAATCCAAAATTCTCTTCGAAATTCCCTCGATCATGCTATCGTCCAATACATCCATGGCCATTATGATTCCGATGGTTTCGCAGACATCCCTCTGACCAGGAAGACTACGCCGATGAGGAAAGCATACATCATTAATCCTGGAGCAGTCGTTGAGGCAACACAGAGGACGCATCCCTCCAATCGATTTTATGCATTGCGGGATAATGATCAGTGGCTTGCACGACAAGTCCATGATAGCGATGATAACTCGGTTGATACCATTACTACCACCGGCACTCACTCAGTAGCGGATTCCCAAACAGAAGATAATATTCCCACCCCGCCTCGAGTTAATCGCCGCAATAACAATCACACTGGTAAACTCTCAGCCACAATCCACAGAACCCAACGATCGGTCATTATTGCGAAGGTAGTCGACCCTTTGCCGCTCCCTCCCATCCTTGCAACAACCACCACCATTGACGCGACACCAGTCATTTGGGAGATGCAACCTCGTCAACGAAGTCAGCGGCGTAAGGCAAAACGTGGTGGTAACATAGCCAAAAGAAATCGAGCTATTCATCCCAGTGCTTGCAACAATCAGGTACCTACTGCCGACACGACTATGGAGCCCATCGAAAACACAGGTGCCTGGCCTCCGCTCTCTACCCAGTCAGTGGTCGCCAAACCGCAGCATCAAGGGCCAACGAACTGGAATAAACTTAACAACACGAAGACGCTAACCAACCCGGAAACCGACCAAAAATTATCACCGGCAATGCAGATCAGCCGCAAGAAGACGAAGCCACTTCAGTTGAATTCGGTTATTGCTGATACACCACAACAAGCCAATGCTGACACACTGCAAACACAACACGAGGGTGACGAGTGCTCCTTGGTCGCCTCCAAAACCACCAAAAAGAAGATCAAGTTTCGGTTGAAGCAATCTATTCAGGAATTCCTCTGTCATCAGCTCACCGCGTCAACCAATCCGAAAATGTGCAGAACCAAAACTCGAATAGGGTTGACAACACTGCGACCACTCCCAATTACAACAACAGCAACAGCAATCACCTTGGATCGGCTAATGCACCTATTGATCTCGTCTCTCCACCAAAGATGTCGACAACTACCAAACCAACAAGCAAGACAAGGAATCACGATCTCTGCTCAGCACATCTGGACGATGTCACCACAATGATGCCAGTTGCCTGTCCTGAATGTTGTTCCATTGTGACTCCTAGAGTTCCTGCGGTCAGTGATTCCACCACTGACATCCTTGGACGCAAAGACATTAGTGATCCAACTCACTGTTGCACCAACTGTAACAAGGTCATTCCGTTGCAAGGTTCTTTGGCAATGGACTCACGTCCAACATCACCTCTCACATTGCTGCTCTCACCAAGTACAGCCATTAGACAGAAGCAAGATGACACCACCACTCCAACTGAGGAGGAGATCAAGGAAGGCATCCAGCATCTTCAAGACATGGCAAGGACACAGGACCTACTAGACGTGGCAGCCACACCATTATCGGATGACAACACAGTTCTTAATCCACAGTACACACAGGAGACATTATCTACCAACTCCACTTCTGACTCATGCAAAAGACTGCCCACCACTCAGAAGAAGGAGACCACCACACCCTCAGATCATTCAGCTTCACTCAAGTCATCATGCAAAAGTCCCCAGAGATGCTTCTGTCACCAGGTCTCGATCTCTAGACCTCAAGACCCATTGTGTTTCCTCTGCAAGTGGAAGGCAGATCCAGCAAAGATACTCACTTATCTGGAAACAGAACTAGCAGTCCTTGTTCCCACCCACCCAGCCAACGACACTGCCTCTGTCTGTGTTAGGAACTCCCTTCTTGAGCTACAGAGAACTCACTGTCCATTGCCTCAAGAGATTCATTGTAAAGCAAAGACCTTGGGTCTACTGGAACCAGCTCCTGAAATTGATGTTCCACCAATTCCAGGCGTTGCCACCATGACCATTCAGGAGTCCAAGCAAGATGCCGCTGCTGCTTCACTTGGTGTGGCCAATCCCATGGCTCTGGATGCAGATGAGAGCGCCAATGAATCCAACAACAATGGCAATCAGGACGGCGACAATGGAGATACTATGAGGGATGATGAGGAGGAAAGCTTTGAGGATGCCAACGATGGTGCAAGGAACCACAAGACACATTACTTCGGTGTTCGCATCGAGGCAATGAATCCAGCAACCACAGCAATGCCTATTCCACCGGTCATGCAGTTGTTGACACTATTGTGTTCCGATGACAGGTACACAATCACCTTCAAAGACCATGAAGGGATAGGAGACTTTGAGGGCAATGGAATTGACTTGGATTCCCTAGGAAACATGACCCGCGACCAGCTTGTGAAGTGGCTAAATGCCTCGGTGATGGATTGGGGCCCCATCAATGACTACATTCGTCGATTTGCCTGTTCTTTCTATGTGCACAGCCCTGATTACGACAGTGTGGCTGCACTGAAGAAGATTCAAGGGGTGGTTCCCTTTCTCAAAGAACACAAGCTCTTCCTCCGCCCACACAGCTTGGAGGAATCCCAAACTGCCACAGTATGCTACATTGCCGGGAAGAATCCTAAGAAGACCTTCCGCGATGGCCTGATACCCAGGGTATCCAGTTGGTTACGACAGCAGAGGCCTTCCATCACATGTCCCATTGCCATTGTTCCAACCAAAGTCAAGGTCGATACTGAGAAGATTGACATCCTTGGTATCCAAGTGGGAATCACCGACCGTCCAGCCTTTGAACACCTGATGAAAGCCATTGCCAATGATTCCACTCTGCAACATCCACAGTTGGATCTCCTGAGCCCCAAATTGAACAAGATTAGCAGACAAAGAAAGCACCATGACCTTATGAAGAAGGCAGTTATCCAACATATGGATGTCATCAATGCCACCACAGGAGTCCCCCTTCAAGACCTGAATCCAAACTTTGAGGATGAAATTCGTCTTTTGCTATTAGAGAAGATTGTCACTGCCAATGGAAAGCCCCTGCTGTTGGACCTGGAACGCCACAAATCCTATGCCACTGCAGGACAGTACTATGCCATCTGCCAGAAGAGTGCAAGAGACACAGTGGTGGAAAAACTCACAGACATCTTCTCAGATGCCACCATCTTCCCACAAGACTATGCCCTCAAAGATGAGGAACCCTCTGTCATTCAAAGACAACCAAGAACTCCAAGGGATGACTCTTGGGATCAGTACTCTTACAGCAGCCGCTCTTTTCAAACACTGTATCAAGATGATGCCTCTCTTGCTTCTGTGGAGGCAATCATCACTACTTGGGCAGACAAAGTCAGAACCTGGGGACAGAATCAGGCACCAGATACCAATGTCGCTGTACCAGCTACAGCCACCACTGTGGCAACCAGTGATGTTACTAGTGATGCACAGTCCAAAGAAATAGCAGCCCTCAAAGCAGCAATGGAACAGCAGACCCAGTCCACATTAGCCATGCAGCAACAGACCAAGTCCACGTTAGACGCCATGGAGAGAATGGAGAAGAAACACCAGGAACAATTGCAGCAGCTGGAAGCCAAGCACCAAAAGGACCAGGAAGCCAGTGAAGCAAGATTCCAGCAGATGATGGCCTTGCTCAGTAACATGCAGAGATCATCTAAAGCCACTGCCACCCCCTCCAACCCTCCTTCCTCCAGACAACCACATCCTCCTGGAGGGGGTGCCAATGATGGTCCAGTACCAGGGATGACTATGCCTCACCATGGAAGTTACCAGACTCCTAATCAGTCTCCAGCCCATGGACAATACCATCCTCAAGGCACTAATGATGTCTACACACACCCAGATTTTCTGCAGAGCTACCATGGCAATCTCTATCAGAAGCGACCACCACCTTCAAATGTACCAGTTGCGACTCAAGATGGTATTCCCGTGACGTCTCCTCTACTCAAGCAAGATGACAAGCGTCCGCGTGCCGATCCACGCTCTCTTCAGCCAGCCCAGTTGTATCCAGCAGCCACTTATCAGCCTTACCAGCAGTCACAGCCACCACCCTACCATGGACTACAGTATCTTGCTGATGCAGGATTCTACCCAGGATTTCCTCAGCCCTCCCAACCCCCATCACAACCCCCACCCAACCAGGACCCACAGGGGCATCCTGGTGGGCGGGGTAGTTAAAGATGGGCTGGGCTCCCCCGGCACAAAGTGTTCTATGGGACTCGCTGGGAGGAGGCCAGCCTACAGGGGCAGTTGAATCACCGTTAGTGGATGACTTTGACTCATGGGACAATATCAAGGGAATGCTGGCGCGAAATGAGCCAGTGGGGGACATTATGCCACCCAAAAAGCCACCAAATGTGGCAAGATTCATCTTCAACAACAAGAGAGGATTCCCACTTTACGATGACAATGGCGGGGAGCTCTTTGAAGACTGCAAAACGTTGGGAATGTTAGGAACCGACTATGCTGGATTTCAGGAGCCAAATCTTGATACTAACCAGCCAGGTGTGAGACGGAAGATTCAAGCAGCTGTGAGGAAGGCCTTTGACCATAGGAAGGTCACCTTTGGCAGCACTCCACAGATTCACTTGAGAGAATACAAGCCAGGAGGGACTCTCTCTCTGGTGATGGGCCGCACCGTTGGCAGAGTGTTGGAGGCTGAGGCAGATTACCTGGCTGGGCTGCTGGACAAGGACAGTTCTATCCTGCAAAGATGGAAAGCGATTATCGGTTTACAATGTGTATACTGTGACCGATGGGAGTGTTGAGAGGGCTGGTGATAGGACCGTTTTGGCCCAACTACATGCCATCTATGTACAGGAATCACGGCCGTCCCTAGATCCAAGGAGGAACCACTATGATGATCTTCAGGAATGTGTGGCCAACGACATCGCCAATGGTCATGAGATTATTGTGGGTGGGGATTTCAATGACGATTTGGCAAGAGGACGGAAGGGGCTATCCCGACTGGTATCCGATTGCAAGCTTGTCGATCCGATTTTCTACAATCACGGAATCAGCGACTTTAACACCTATGTCAGAGGCAGTAAGGTAATCGATTACATCCTCGTTTCTGAAAACCTTTTGGATGCTGTCGACGCTTGTGGTTACCATCCGTTCTGTGACCACTTCTATAGTGACCACCGTGCCTGCTTTGTCGACTTCGACTTGAAACAGCTGTTTGGGTCTGATACAGCAGCTTTACCCAAGCCCTGTCAACGAAGGGTGCATTCCAAGAAACGCCACCAAGTCACCACCTACATCAAATCCAAGTACAGTTATCTTGACAATCATGGATTCTTTCAACGACTATGGAGATTCAACCAGGCACCTACCCAGCAGGAGGCTGAGGCCTTGGATCAACTCCTGCTCTCTGCAAGCCTCTATGCCGCCAAAAAGTGCCGAACCTATTCGCCCATTCCCAGTTCCCCAGCATTGACCCAGTTACGACTGAAGTTCCAAGTCTTGACGATGGCCCTGCATGCACTCCTATGCAAGAACTAAATTACCAATCAGATTCGTCTACGCATGGAGCGGATCTCCGATCCAGCCTTTGAACTACCCACTTCGTTGGAAGACTGCAAGAAACGAAAGAAGCAAGCCCGTAAGGAACTTCGTGCAGCTGAGGTGGATGAGTGGAGAACACACAAGTTGCGCCAAGAGTACGAAATGGAACTCCAAGCACAATACGAGTCTGAAGGGGACACAAGGTTGGCTAATGTGATGAAGCGCTTGCGCAACGCTGAAGCCACTCGGAGAGCATGGCAAAAGTGTGCACACGCACGGGGTAAATGTCATGGTGCGGGACTAACAGCCTTGGAAGTCCCCTGAGACCCCACCGCGCCGCCAAAACAGTGTCAAGACTGGATGTATGTCGAAGATCCCGAGGAAATTGAACGCCATCTCCAGGCTCACCTCAAAAAGCATTTCCGGCAGGCTGAGGAGACAGAATTCCGATCCGATTCCACATTGCGGACCGATACAGACTTCTCCGCCAGTACTGCTACCGCCGATGCAATCCTCGATGGCGAATACGACATTTGCCCATTCGAAATGTCATTTGCTACAGCAGTCCTCCTCAGGCACCTGGCTTGGGCTTGCGATGGTGAGATTCCAGCAACGTTGACACAGGAACAGTTCGATGGGAAACTCAAGAGCTGGAATGAACGCACTACCACCTCCCCCTCAGGACAACAT